TTATATTTTAGCATGTTCAACAATACAGAAATAATATAACAAGATGCAAAAACATATGATTGCTAAGGAGAAAGGGAAATAATAATAGACACATGAGAACAAATCACTCCCAAATATACAGTGTCAACATGGCAGTCACAGGTGTTAAGCTACCTATGTTCAGTAAGATAAGACAGCTTTACAGTGATTGGGTTGGGTATCATTCTGCTGGCCATTTTCCATCAGAGAAAATAAAGAGGTGCCAATTGCAAAAAGAAGTTGTAGTTTCAAGTTTAGCCATATTTTCTTACCGCTTTAAGTAGATTAGTTTGCTTTTCTATTACAACAGGGGTGACTAACCTCTGGCTTTCCACATGTTGCTAAACCACCCTTCCCTTTATCCCAACCATTTATCGCAGTGGCTGGTGCTGATGGGATTTGGAGACCCAACAGCATCTCAAGGCCACCTCTTCATTAGAAGATGCTACCAGACCTCCATACCATGATGTCAGTAGAGGACTATATTTTTGTACCCCTGTATTAAAATTTCCTATTCCTTTCTGAGATGTGTGTTTTTGTTTAATAGCACACACACACAAGCTTGAGAGGTTGTATTTTCAAGCAAGTAGACATTTCACCTTTCCATTTCCCCCCCCCCTTTGAAATGCACACCTGAGTGAGTGTTTCTAGCAATTTACCTCTTTCATGTGTTCCTCGTTTAATTCAAGCAAGCATCTGAAACATGAAAGCTAAGTACAGCATAATGCAATTACTTTCTGTGATGTTTGCCGAGTGTTTTATGAAGCCCGTCTCTTTACAGTGGTCAATGAACGTAACATAATTGGATCTAAAAAGGGAGCTACTGTGTTCCAATGTGCACATAATGTTCCCTTTTTATAATGTTCAATAATTAAGACTTCTGAAAATACAAAGCAAGCATTTATATAATCAAGACAAGAGATGAGTAACTATTCCAAAATAGCATTTTGTTTAGTAGCAAAAATAAACCAGGGTGTTGTTTTCTTTAAGCTTTAAAATAGGATAAACTGGAACATTACAAAGGTTGTTCTTTCTCCCAAGTTGTAGCGCCTGGTACTGAACTCCATTATTGGGTATTATGATTTTATTTTAACTTAGTATGTAGCTTCTTTCTGGTTGAATACATACTAGCTTAGGATCCTAATAGGCTAGATATGTGTATTAAAATTTACTGAGCCATTAAGACCCGGGATATGTGATGCATTCTGTGCAGATGCATGCCTGAAATAAGAGTAAACTTTGGTTCATGCATAGAATGTCCTTATTTCCTATTTGCCACTCCAGCGAATATCATCTCTGCAGAAATGAGCCCCTGACCAGATCAGAAACCACACACTAATATAGATGTGTTAGGCGTATTTTTGAATAGGAATCCAGCACTTAGTTACATGGTTCTGTGCCTCTTGAAGTTGGTTGGTGTTGTAACTTCAGAAAGCAGACGCACCAATTTGGAAAATGAATTTACACAAACACGCAAAATCCACGTTTAATTATTAGAGTGACATTTTTTCAGATGTGTAAACTGAAGCCAAATTCAGATGGTTGGAGGCTTTGAGCTGCATCAGTTTTGTATAAAACCATGAGCTGCTGAATGTGGTGTTCTCATGGTTAAAGGCAGAGGTCTGCAACCTAAGGCCCATGGGCCACAAGCGGCCCATGGGGGTCATTTAACTGGCCCATGGACCCCCGCTGCCTGCTCGGTCGGCTCCTGTGCACCATGCTAAACCGGGGTGGAGCAGAGCAGGGACCGCCTTCCGCGATGCTGGCCAGCTTCCCATTGGCTGCAGGAAGCTCCTGCAGCCAATGGGAAGCTGCGCACGCCTCCTCCGCACTGGAAGGAGCGCCGGAAATAGTGTTTGTTTGTGCCCAAGCCACAAAAACTTTGCCAACTCCTGGTTAAAGGTGTATATTTTGAGAAAGGGAAAGGAAAGGAAGAGGCAGGATAAGAAAGAATGAGGGCAAGCAGATGCAGGCTCTTCTGCTGTTCCAGCAGAGAGACATTTGCACACTGATTCTGGAGACAGCCAAAGGACACTTATAATGGTCTCATTTGCACATAACGTTCTATCAAACCATGGCTTAGCACAAACATGCTGGCTCCCAGGGTCTTTGCTCCTCCCCAGTCTTCCCAGCTCAGTTTGGTACTAATGTGTCATCCAAACCCAAGATCGTGGTTGAACTAGGGTTGCCATATTTCAAGAAGTGAAAATCTGGACACAGACAAATTGTTTGAGCTCTTTTTAAAAAAATAGAAAAAACCCAAGTTGTTGGGGTTTGGGGGGTTATGTTGCCCCCCCCCCCCGGACATTACTTTCATAGTTTTCCTTAACCATGATATGTAGCCAACAACAAGCAAGCTTATGGTTAAGGAGGAGAGAGCTTCACTGTGATTGTGGGCTTGGATGACACACTAAACTAAACCTTGGCTTAGCTGCTACAAAGCATTGACCTAAAAGGAGCAAAGCAATTGGGAGCTTTTCTCTGGGAGCCAGTAGGTTCGCGTGGTCCCAGCAAACCGTAGTATGGCTTATTATTATCATTTGTATAAGGTAAAGGTAAAGGGACCCCTGACCATTAGGTCTAGTCGTGACCGACTCTGGGGTTGCGGCGCTCATCTCGCTTTATTGACCGAGGAAGCCGGCATACAGCTTCCGGGTCATGTGGCTAGCATGACCAAGCCACTTCTGGCGAACCAGAGCAGCACACAGAAACGCCGTTTACCTTCCCGCTGGAGCGGTACCTATTGATATACTTGCACTTTGATGTGCTTTCAAACTGCTAGGTTGGCAGGAGCTGGGACCGAGTAACGGGAGCTCACCCCATTGCGGGGATTCGAACCGCCAACCTTCTGATCGGCAAGTCCTAGGCTCTGTGGTTTAACCCACAGCGCCACCCACATCCCGGTATCATTTGTATATTGTTTATTAATTTATATATTGCTTGTATGCCAAAATTACCTAGACATACTGTATCGCATGAACTAGGCCAGTGTCTGCCTTCTGGCCTAGGAGGCACAAAACCAACGGAACCAAACCATTCATGTTCACATAGTTCACTGGTAGCTTTACAAAAAGGACTTGGTTGGTTTTTCATTTCTGAAAGCCTCCTATTTTTGCCCCTGGGCAAATATACAGGGAAGAGCGGGAAAGCCCAGCAGTTATCATGTTGAACATTTAGTTTTGTGTGATTGTTTATACAGAGCTGTCTTTCTGATTATGCCGCCACTTCATGATTAGTGAACCTTGCCCTTTTCAACACTTTACAGTTTCTTTTAACAGCTTTAGCTTTAAAATATTTCCATTATAAGCACTTTTGCAGCCAACTCCTATAGTGTGGTTGTGCATTATTGGTTCAGTTTTAGGGATTGTTGAACATTAAATACTAAGACCTCTTTTACAGTAATTTGTCGCAATCCACTTTTCAAGAATGTCCAAATGCGATGGGCTTGGGGCTTTGTTCATTTTGGTTTTCATATTTTGGAATGGCACCAAGCAAAACTTGTTTGTCTGAACATATATTCAAGCTTTAAAATGTAATTTAATGGGAAGCATGAAATTAAGGGTTGCATCCAAATAACTTCTGCTCAGAATAGACTTATTGAAACTAATGGTGCTAGTTTAGCCATGTTTATTAATTTCAAAGTTTTCTCTGAGCATGACTAGTGTTGGACACAACCTAAATGGCAAAACATGATGTATGATGGCAAAACATGAAGTCCCCAGTAAATCAATAATTAGATATGAAGCATACGGACTTCTGTGACAGACCAGTATCAGAAAGATTACACCAGCATTGTCAAAATTCTGTAGCGAATTGTAGGCTGACAAGTTGTGGCAAGTGTTTAGATTTTTTTACTCTTGCTTTAAAGCGATGGTGGTTGTGTTGTTTATAAATATTAATCATTCCATAAAATAAAAGATTATAATTGTTTTGCCTCTGTGTCTAAGTCTGGCTAAATGCAATATGAATTTATATATATATATATATATATAAAACTATTACAAAAACATGTGAAAAGTTATACAGATGCCATTTATATTAGCCTAAAGGGGGCGTAAATATGTACTATTTTTTTGGCAAAGGGTGTTTAAGGAGATAACAGAAATCACTGGGTTAAAGCTAACCAAAAGTCCAGAGGTAGCATTATTATCAATTTATGATAGGGTGGAAGGTTCACAGGCTATGAAGGACTTGCTCACAAATTTAATGAAAGCTGCACGAAATATTATAGCTAGGAAGTGGAAGGCCCAAGCAGAATATAAAATGGAAGAATGGATATAAAGAGGTATGGGATATAGCTATTAATGATAAATTAACATGTGCCATTGGGACGCGGGTGGCGCTGTGGGTAAAAGCCTCAGCGCCTAGGGCTTGCCGATCGAAAGGTCGGCGGTTCGAATCCCCGCGGCGGGGTGCGCTCCCGTTGCTCGGTCCCAGCGCCTGCCAACCTAGCAGTTCGAAAGCACCCCCAGGTGCAAGTAGATAAATAGGGACCGCTTACTGGTGGGAAGGTAAACGGCGTTTCCGTGTGCTGCGCTGGCTCGCCAGATGCAGCTTTGTCACGCTGGCCATGTGACCCGGAAGTGTCTCCGGACAGCGCTGGCCCCCGGCCTCTTAAGTGAGATGGGCGCACAACCCTAGAGTCTGTCAAGACTGGCCCGTACGGGCAGGGGTACCTTTACCTTTACCTTTAACATGTGCCATTAAGGTAAGACGGGGAATATGCAGGAGAAATGATTTTGAGGAGATACAGAGGGTGTTTGTAGAATTTGTGCTGTTAAAACATAAAGAGGTCAAACCATCGCAAGAGGTGTTGAAATTTTGGGAGGTTGGATAGTTACAATGGAATGGTCTCTGTGGTGGGGTGCACATTTTTATTATTATTTATTTATGATTTTTTTTAAAAGTACTGTGATACTGAAAAACAACAACATATATATAATTAGTCTAAATATGCAATGTATTGTCTTGTTCCCTGACAGACGCCTTGCATTTCAAAGACAGAGAATCAGCCACAAGGATTAGCAACCAGCGTCAGGTGGGGACAGACACCCATCAATCAGTCTACCCCCTGGGACACAGACGAACCCCCATCCAAACAGATGAGGGAGACTGAAAACCCAGGTATTCTTTCAGCCTTATTTGTAATTCTGTTGGGTGGGTGGGTGGGTGGAGGGATTGTTCAAAGCAAATTCAATATGCTTTCTCCAATTACCTCTCTAAATAAGACTTTATCACGAGTCCTTTTTTCATGCTACAGCTGGCTTTTCTTTCTAGTTGTAAAGACCCCCTCAGGTTACTCCTATGTCAGGGTTAATATAAATGTATTAAGATGCCTGCAAGTTCATTAAAGCGTTTTCTTTTCCCTTCTTCACCAGGGTAGAAAACAAGCAAGCAAACAAACAAACACACAAAAAACTCGCCACTGCATAATATGTTAAGAACTCATTTTATGTCCAGAGCCACCTGAAATGATTTCCAGCTTCCAGACACATATCATACAATGTGCAGCTATGCCAGACGCCTAATTACAATCTCTTTGTAGTGGCTGCAACACGGTTATTATACGCGCCAAGTGTTTGTCAGGGAGCCATGAAAACACGTTGGGGAAAGAGGATAATTTTCTTGGAAGCATATACTTAAGCTACACAAAGCTGCAAAGCGCATAACATTGTAAACATTCTGTATTGCTAGCTGATCGCTATTTTCAACATTTGCATTCTCCTGCCATGTCATAGTCCTTCCAGGCACTTGCCAGTTTGGAGTGGTTCCAGATCCCTCCCCCCACTTCCTTTGGGGTTGCAGGAGGGACGGGCTCAACAGGGGAAATGGAATACAGTGGTACCTCGGGTTAAGTACTTAATTCATTCCGGAGGTCTGTTCTTAACCTGAAGCACCACTTTAGCTAATGGGGCCTCCCACTGCCGCCGCGCCACCGGAGCACGATTTCTGTTCTCACCCTGAAGCAAAGTTCTTAACCCGAGGTACTATTTCTGGGTTAGCGGACTCTGTAACCTGAAACGTATGTAACCTGAAGCGTATGTAACCCGAGGTACCACTGTATTAGCAGCATTGTACAGAGAGAGTATTGGGCCTTCCTGTTCCCAAAATTGTTCTTATTGCTAGCTTTCCTTTTTCCAGGTACAGCTCCATGGGTTACAACAGTTGCAGCAGGTAGCCAGCCAACTCTTATCACTCATTCTTATGGGATGACTCAACCTCCGACCTTCAGCCCAGCTGTGAACGTCCAAGCCCCTGTCATTGGAGTTACACCCTCACTCCCTCCTCACGTTACCCCCCAGCTTCCATTAATGCCAGCTCATTACCAGCTTCAGCAGCAGCCTTCACAGCCTCTGAGTAACATGGTTGTGAACCTGCAAAGCCAGCCTCTGTACACTAACAGCCAGCCCATTACAATGTCTTCTATGACCGGGGTTGGTCAGGTGACTCACCCGGGCCACAGTGCAGTAGGGAACGGTCATATGACTTGTCCTATCCTGCCTCCACCACCACCTGCTTTGCCTTCAGCCGCCCTACCTAATAGCGTTCCGGCTACCAATGGGCAGGCTGCTCCTCAGCTTCCTCCTAACCAGACGGGCAGTCAGGACAGCACAAATGGCCTGCAGATGCTACGGACGGTTGGTGTGGGAAAGTACGAGTTTACGGATCCTTGGCACCCAAAAGGTAAGTTAGCCCAGAATTCCTCATGCTTTCCATGCTTTGTACTTTGCACTTTGGGATATAACATGAGTTTGACCAAACTGTGGGAGACAGTGGAAGACAGGAGTGCCTGGCGTGCTTTGGTCCATGGGGTCACGAAGAGTCGGACCCGACTAAACGACAACTTTGGGATTATGTGTACTTTGGGGACGTAATGTGTCAACGATGTTCAAGTTCTGCCAAAAACCCTACATAAGAGGCGGCCTTGCCAGTTAAGAGTGTCCACAGTGCTGATGTTCCTCTGACAGTATTCCAGCACCAGTTTCCTGTCTTGTGTTCTGTGGCAGCTTTTCCTAAAGATGACAAACGGCTTCCTCTGAGAAGTCGGGGGAAACTATGCACTGGTTTCAGCACTGAATGACACTTTCTAGGGTACCTCAAACAAGCAAAGATACACATCTCAAAGTGCATGAGACAGCTGTCGCTCGTTGCCTTAGAGTCCTCCCCTCCTTGTGAGGAACACTTAGGTACAAACCACCCCACTGTCTTTCTAGGTTAAGTTGTGGCTTTTGAATCAGTTATATGACACTTGATAATTTCCTCCTATTCAGCGTGGTGTGTGTGTGTGTGGACTGGGCTAACATTCTAGTTGGCTTTGCACACTGGGTAGGGTTAGCCAACCCAACAAGAGCCTCTAAGGTGCTACTTCAGAGTGTGTTGATTGAAATTGACTTGTGATCTGGTATTAACTCTCCAAGAGACTATCAGGCCAGGAGCAGTAGTTATTTGATCCATAGAACCGAATGCATCTGATCCATGCTGGAAAATTAGGATGGCAGGAAATCTGCACTAGAAAATCCCAAAGGGGTTCTGCATGCTTCCCCTACGCACACTTCTATTTCCCTCATATTGACTTCACAGCCTACCCCTCAAATCTGCCCCAGGGACAAAAAAAAATTGAGAGAATTATGTTGTGTAGTGCTGTGCATATATACCTTGCCGACAGTCCACTATGTGAACATTAAGTGTGACATTGCATGTTAAGTTTCTTTTAGTTTACAGTATTCCCTTGTTATGTTCTCTGGGCGATTCTCAATCTGATAAGAACACAGTGGCTCTCCCTGACCATGTCGTTGAAAATGCATTTGCTTTCTGAGGGCAGGTTAGGCTTGTGGGATGATGCTACATTATTTAAAACAAAAAAACAGAGCAGCTCACATCACCTGTTACATGCAGCCGTATCCGCAGGGACAAAGCATGACTGTATCTCACGCTAGGTTGCGATTACCCCCTGGAAGGTAACAAGCGAAGAGGTGCTTTGACTTGCATTGCTTCTGTGAATGCTAGGACAGCTCTTTAAATGTGCTGCAGAAATCAGATGCAACCGTGTTGTGTTTGGAAAGTCATTCTTCCTCCCAGCACTAGAGTGCTGGTTTAATTTAATCTTTGTGTGCTTTGTTTTATTTTTCAAATTAACCTGTCTCTCCTTAACAAGTATTTAGTGTTCCCCATATGAAACTGAAATAGAACGGAGCTTAAGAAAAATCTCTTAAGTCAGTATAGAAGACCACAAAGGCTCCATTAAGTCTGCTAAGCTAATTGTACACATGAACAGTGCCCATGTTTAATTTATATATTAAAATCTTTCGTGTAGCTTGATACCAAAGAAACTTCATTACTATTAAATACCTTTCATTTGCATATGAGGAAATTCATTCCAATTGCCCAGCTTTTAAGAACAGTTGCTTCACACCCTGATTTCTAAAGCAAAGTACTCGAGTATTTTCAGGTTTTTACTTCTTAAAAAATATGAGATGAAGTGACTTTGAAGGATCTTTGCTATCCATGTATTTCTTATTATTTCCAAGAAAATTAAGTTCATACCTTATTCCCTTCCTCAGTAAAAAATATTAAATATAACACCATATGTTTCAAATGTTAAAGAGATTTCACAATCCAAAATTTAAAGAAAATATTGAATATTTTGGCAGGGTGCCTCATTTTGATTCTAGAGTTTTTAATTTATTTATTACTGGTTGACCAGAAAAAGCAGCTTGGAGCAGCCTCCAAGTGTTGAAATCTTTCCTAGAGATAAATAATTTGCCCATCCATTTTTTAAAAAGTTGAGGGTTTGTCATCATGATTCCCATTGTGGTTTTTACCATATATATCTATAGGCATCTGTAGGCCCAAAGTTATAGTCTGAAGGAACATGAGGCTATCCTCTTTCTGAAGCCAAGCAAATCAGGGTTTGTATAGTGCCCAAATGGTGCACCTCCCCAGAAACCACATGTACTTTGTCTTGAGTTCAAATGTAGAGATGAAAGCAGGTATTAGTTTTAACTGCTGACAGCTGTCAATGAATTAGCTCTACAGTTTTGCATAAATTGTAAGATGGGCAGCTGTTTTCCTGTTAGATTTTACTATCTTCTTATTTATCAGATTTATTTGTTTAATGATAAAGAGAGAGAGAGAAACATCCATATATGATTTATTATGTAGGTTGATAGGTGCGTGTGTATAAATCAGGGTTTACCAATCTTGGGTTGCCAGTTGTTGTTGGACTACAATTCCCATCATCCATGACCACTGATCCTGCTAGCTAGGGATGATGGGAGTTGTAGTCCAACAACAACTGGAGGCTGGGAAACCCTGGTGTAAATAAACATGTATACACCCAGAGAGGGAGAGAAATTCTCATTCTTTAAAAGCTTCATTTAAACTCTATAATTGTGATTGTCAGGTCTAATGTGGAACAAGCGGATATAAAATCTACTTAAATAGAGGAAAACCTCAGTCCAGCAAGGCAGAAGACTATAAACTCTTGCCATGTTTAGCATGAGATATCCCTCATATAAACCATCTCAAGTTCATAAGAAGAGTGTTTTGATTTCTCTCTCAGGGGCTTTGTGTCTTTAAAGCCTGGCTAATTTCGGAGTTGTGTGTGACAGACAGCTTTCTCTCAGATAGGGAGATTGGAAGCACAGTGACGCAATGTCAAAATGGTTCAAACATGCAGGGAGAGCTGCTTCACTATCAGTTTTTGAAACGAGCTTTTCTGCCTCATTTTGGGTGAACCTTGGCCGGTGTTGCAAGGAAGTTCTGCTGCAGATGTGCTTTGAGATCCTTTTCATTACATTCCCATCATTATTCCTCCCACCACACAGACACGCACTAGCCCCATTTTTGTTTCTGCTTGACAATCCGCCTGGTATGGAGTAATTACTTCACAATTCCCTAAATGAAAAGAACACATCTTGCCAGTCAAAATAAGGGATACTGATGTTTTTATACATCATTAGTGAACTGATTTAAAATTTCACATTTTGTTTTCCCTAATTATGTTTCATTTGGCTGAGCTGTATTCCTGCAAGGTCTGCACTAGAAATGCACTTACTCAAATGTTTCTTCTTAATAGCCTCTTTCTGCTTTACAAGTAAACAAATACATGGCAAAAATAATAACAATCTCAACCCAATATATAAAGGTTATGCGGAAGATATTCCATTTGCAATAGGTCAATGGTATTTTTTGACATACAGCTTGAAATTAAGTCAAGTCTATTTACTATTATTTAAATTGTAGTAACAGTTACATTGTATTTTGTTATACTTTAAGGAACCTAACTTTCAGTCTTTACTCCTTTCTTTTCATTGAACCATGTGCCAAATGAAGATTTAATTGGTCTCTTACAGCTGCTGCTGGTGCTGGTATTGAGGAGAGATGTTGAGAAATTTTAAATGATTTTTTTTTTTTTAATGCTGTGAATATGTTGAAGATTAGCCTGTTTGCAAACATTGGGAAACTGGTACTTTGTCAATTACTGCAAAGAATTGTATTGCAAAAATATGCAATTTTTAATTAAATTAAAAATAATGCTGTTCTATATTAAATGCTTGATAGCTCTTTCCAAGGCATATTTTATATATATATAAGGCAAGTTCAATCATTACGAGATGCTATATATACAATAAGGGTGGATTCACATAGCTTATTTGGTGCTTCTACTCATGAGTGGAAATGATTTGACAGTCTGTCCTCTACCTTCTACCGTGCAGTTAAGCCCAGTTTTATAGCAGTTCTCTGCCACTACTTGAAATCTAGGGAAGATAAGAGATGATAGCACTGGGATTAATAGCATGATTAGAGAGTGTAGATGACTACATCCCCACACCATTTCAGATGCTATATTGACAGCTTTTAAGTGATTAGCTTGTGTCTCCATTGTAAGCTTGCGTCTCCATTATAAGTGTCATTGACATCCATACTAGAGTGCATTTCAGATAAAATTGCACGTTTAATTCCCACTGAAAATTAGGGTAGATGGATGGTTTAATTCTTCTTTTTAATCAGCAGGATAACGTCAAATATATTTATATATTTCAGATGGCATGTTTATGAGAATCCTGAGGAAATGGTGCAAGTTACATTAATTTAATAATCAAATGCTACGATGTTGATAGAACGTATGTACATCTTTTAAGAGTCGTTTTTAATCAGGCTGGGCAATTACAGAATATCTGGATTCCTGCTCGTCAGCGAAAGCTTTCCATTGTTTTAGAGTCACAGACTGCTGGAAAACTGGAAAGAATATTCAAAATATAATGTGTGGTTCACTCAGTTTTAATAGAAAATAATACTTTCAGTATTTTCACTCATTAAAAGAGACTTTATTATGGTTAGATTTGGTCTAGCTCCGCCAACCAGCTACATAAGGTCTTAGTTAATCAGAGCAATTCGTGGAAATCAAGTGACTACTTAACTTTGGCAAAGTAACTCCTAAATCTGTTTTATGTAACCGGCTACACAGAACACGTAAAGAACTTCCTTGAAACCCAAAAGCAAAAACTGGCAGGTTTTGGGTCTGAAAGAAAATGTGTGCTGGATGCCGAAAATAACAGAAAACAGCTCCTTATGTTTCATTTTACTGGGTGTTTCTGGTGTTAGCTAACACCTCCTTTTCATCCTTCTCAAGGTCTAATTTGTTTAATTAATAGATTTTTACACCATGCGCTGGGCTTCAA